GCCCCAGGCACAACGTTTAACCATATTTTTGATAAAACTACGACGGTAATAGCCTGCCGAGACCAAAAATAAGAGACGCCTGTGTTAAAGTCAATGGAGCACTGTGAAAAAGTGTCGGACATCTGTGGGAGCTCGTTCTTGGCTGCGCTGTGATTGGTCAATCTACATTCTAGGGTGTGGCTTAGCCAAAGGCGAATTTCAGCCATTTAACCAAAACCCTATTTAAAAACCCCATTAACTTCGGGACGATGGAACAGGATGTGCTACAATGCTAACTCGCTTCTGCGTTTTGGCTTACAAAGTGTTACCTGCACCACTCTATATCATACAGGTATAAATTCCTTTTTAATAACTGGGTTTCAGTCACGTGATTATGATGTCGCGCGAAATTCAGATGGAGTTATTGGGAGTGAAGAGCGCAATGGACGAGATGGAGGAAAGTCCGTACTGTACTACTTTACACGCTATTACAAGAGAAAGATATAAACAAAAAATCAAACATATGTTGGACGTGATCCTTACGTTATGAAGAGGAGCGATTTTCAACTGAATTGAAAGATTTTCCTGCCATCGAGGCGATAGATATCAGCAACTACCTCGTCTTACAGACATACTTTGACTTTACAAAGTTCGTAAACGTTACACAAACATAGCCACTTAAGTTGTATTAACTCACCTTTGACGATCACTGCACAAACGGGCATTTTCCCATTCGGCTCCTCCCGACCGCAGACGTAGGTTTGCAAGCCGTTTTCCCGGAGTTTTTCGGTCAATTTCTTGCATTTCCCCCCCTTATGAACAACAACTTTTGGTGCACGATAAAAAACTCCTCGTGGTTTGATCGATTTAAGTAACCATAAACGACGCAAAACAGGCATTTTGAGTTTGTTATAGTGCTTTCTAAATACAGCAAATCACTTCCTGCCCTCCATTTGCATTTCGCGCCATGGCAACGCAGTGGCGTGACGTCATATGAAAACAAGCTATTGATTATTAGATTGTTTAATTACAGTTTATCAGTGGCGGGCCGTGCATTTCACACCTAGGCCTTCTGTCCTACCTGAATTAATAACTTTTAATAGTGTAGCAGCAGTGCAAAGACTCTATAATTGTTGTTTTTATTTTGCACCGGCAGTTATTGGGTTAATGCGGTGAGTTTGGAAAAGGCCGGTAGAAAGAAACGAGCGTGTAAGTTCGGCTGGTGCGCTTGCGTTCCGATTATAAGTTCAGAAACGGAGCCTCCCTTATCTTGTCGTTCAATGGTTACAATAGTGTATGGATGTTTGAAAAAAAATTAAGTTTCGATCATAAATTTAAAAGAAAAATTAAGAAGAAAATCATATTCACCACGGGAAAAAAAGCATTATACTCAGCAAAACTACTGATTATTTTTTACACAAAATCCATCCTTATTTCTTTCCTCAGGAAGACTTAAATTACTCTGTTGTACAGGCTATCTGTGCGTTTCAGTTCCAACAATAACGAGTCTAATGCTGAAAGTCGAGTCCCGTCATATTTCTAGCATAAGTTTTAATTCGCTTTAGAGAGTGTCTGCTCGACAGAAGCAGTGGACACAGTCACCGCATAACCTGACGATGTGTACCGCTGTCCCATGCTCCCACACAGAGTTTTGAACGAAAGCAATGAGATCAGCGGGACTTTTGCCTTCAAAATCATTCGTGGCATAACTTACATTAGTCAGTTTTTACCCGGACAGATCGAAGAGTTCCGTGACTCTGCGTTAAGCTCAGGCTGAATAAGGGATTTTTTCCGGTAGGTTTGAACCTGCTGGGGGGTCGAGGAGGGAAAGAAACATTAATTTGTGGGTTGAAAAACTATTAAATCTACAGGAATATATTTTAGTTTGCAGTTCGCTACAGATGCGTATAGCCTACTGACTACCAGTAACAGTACGCGCTCTGAGCATCCAATCAAAGAACGTGAAAATGCCGACGTTATTGTATGCCTGCTAGATGGCCCCGCTGCAGTCAAATCGAAATCTGATTGGCTGATTAAATCTGACTGCTTATCTGATTGGTTAAAGCAACGGTTTCATTGCCATTCATTGTAAGTTACAGGCGCCCGCACTGTCGATTCTGAAGGCCTGAGGGCAGATTTCTTTGACCCTGGCAACGCATGATGGCTGAAATATGATTGGATAAAAGCGCTAAAATAAACATACACTACTGGAAGCAGAGCAACCAAGAGAAAAGCTATAAAATTAAGAGAATGAACTATTGGGAATAATTGAATACTCATTCATGGAAAAAATATATTAAACTGCAAGTCAGTGATTCTGATAGTGTTTAGGCCAGCAGAGAAGGCCTTGCTGGCCCTGACGGCCCACCACTGCAGTTTATGTATGCTAATTTGCATGACAGAGTTCAAGATATTTTTGAATAAGACACAAAATCAAGTCTATGAAACTTGTCAAAACTCTGCGTAAATATAACAAGCGTATCGGTGCACACTTGTTTAAACAGCACACACACCCGGACATTTGACTGCACGTCACTTTTTTTACATTATTGATAGCTTTCAATCGCAATGCAACGGACCGGTCGACGAGACATAAACTAAGCCTTGAAATAAAAGGGTTACTGAGCTGTTTACACTTAAATTACACCTACATTAATATTTAAGTAACTTATATTGATTGCTATCAGGATGTGAAGACAGTTTAAAACAGTAGGCTATAACAAAAAGTGTTTATAAAACATACCCTACCTTTAACGTTTCCACCATTAGCTACTGCAGACAGGCATGTGTAAGACAACTTTATGTGAACAAAGTACACACAAAGTGTACTGGCAAGTAAAAAAAGACATCTTACACAAACTTTTTTTTTTTTTTTAAGAAATAATAGTTTTATTCATCACGGATGAATTAAATTGATCAAAAGTGACACAAAGGCACAACTTTACATTATATATATATATATATATAATGTATTTTATATTCATTATATATATATATATATTTATAATATATATATATATATATAATTACATTTTATATATATAAATCTGTTTATGTTCTTTTGAATTTTCTATTCATCAAAGAATGCTGAAAAAACCATCATGACTTCAAATATTAAACGGCACAATTGTTTTCCTCTGTGATAATAATAAGAAATGTTATTTGAGCACCAAATCAGCATATTACAATGATTTCTGAATCATGTGACTGAAGATTTGGGTAATAGTTGCTGAAAATTCAGCTTGGCCATCACAGAATTTTGTAAAAAAAAATTATTAATATAGAAAATGGCTGCTTTAAATTGTAACAATATTTCACAATATTAAAAGTTTTACTGTATTTTTGATGCAATAAATGCAGCCTTGATTTGCAAAACAGACGTCTTTTAAAAACATTTAAAACATCTTACCAAACTTTTGACAGTGTGTTCATGAAAGGGCTATTGTAGACACTTGCTAAAGTCATATTGTGATTACTTGTTATAAAAATATGATAAAGAAACTTAAGTTTGGAGGAGTTTGTAGCCCAAGCAGGGTCAAGAGCTATACTTAAATAGGTATTCAGGGAGTAAAATGGCTGAGCACACATTCCAAAAAAGGTCAAAGGCCCTGTTATTTTTAAAGGCATTATGTAGAACAAAAATAATGGATTCTAACCCACAATTATACATTTTAAACTTTCAATTAACCTTGCACAAGGGTATTCTCATTTCCATCAGCTTTAGATTAATACCAGTTGTTTATCACATACCTGTGAACAAAGAACCCTGTTGCATTGCATGCATCATTTAGAAGGTTAAAACACAATTATTAAATTTAAAGCTAAACTATTGATAATTACATACTTGAACACACATAATTCCCATTTAATAACAAACATTTCATTAACCTACACCAAACACAAGGGAATTTACATAAACAGTTACTGAAGGTGGATGCTATTACAGAGCTTAGCATTGTTTTTTTAATTGCTTTGCTAATTAAAGCAATTAATGCATGAATTAAAGGATGGGAATATGATAATTACACATCAACCTCAGAATACCTAATTGTGTTATTTGGTTTCATCCTTTTTAAAAGAAGTTCAATTAGCCAAAGTTAGTGTATAAGCTCACTACGTCTTTTTTTTTTGAACATCAACTTCTTCCACTCTAAAAGAACTATTGAAGTCAGATGCATATTGTTTGGAGACCGATGGTCACTCAAACAAAGCTGACAAAAATGATTCGATGGTACTGATGAGCGATATCACTGTCACAGTGGCAACCTTTATGATACTGATTCACAGTGAGGAATAAACTACCCCATTGTTGCGCATCATTAACCGGCCTCATGAAGAGACACGCCTGGTCCGCTTTAGTTGATAACACCTGTCATTCCAACAAGCGGTCGCAATCATTCTCCACATGCTGTTTGTGTCTTTGTTAAAGGTGATTCAACGGAGGCCTGAAGATGGTGCATCCTTGACCCATGCTACAACTAAAACAGGTGGCATTTCATCCACAAAGTCAACAAATGTTTGAGGGACTACCATCGAAACACTCTTAAAAGTGTAATAGATTCGAACATAACAGGACTCAACTGCAGCCTTTTCCCATTCAACTAAAGTTAGGAATAGGAATCATGAAATTGACATTAACCCAGACAACATTCTCCTGAGAATTTCTCCTTGAAAAGTGACTGGATTAGAGTAAATGTTTAGCAATAAGAGCAAACATAAGGTGGAGGTGATTACAGACACACAAATGAATTCTCACTGCAGGAGTGAAACATTATGCCTCCTATCTGCAGGAACCAAGGACACAGCCACCTCTCCCTCTCAGCACGGCTGGGTGTTAATGAAGCTTGTGCCTTTTGGGCTGATCTAAGAGCCATGCCGCTTTTACCAAACGTGACCTTAAACATTCCCGGCCAAATTCTGGTGTCAGATCTGAGCAATACAAGCACCTGTGACATTGAGAACAGGCTTGATGATCCAATTAAACTGCTACTGTTTTGAAGAGAATAAGAACGAAAGAAGAATTTGGCCATGACGTTTAGTACAAATGTTTAAAATAAAGAAAGACATCTTAAAAGATTGATATTACAATGCTACGTTACAATACAAAGCACAAGCAGTCAATTAATTAACTATAAATGCACTGATGTCGCCATCGTGTGGATGAAATACACAAATGCACATGGCTGTACAGATAAAATGCCTTTGAGGGGTCAGCCAGAGACCATATCAATAAAAAGAGCATGTTTCATACAGTTAGGGTAAAAAAACAACAACATTTTACTGACTTAACCTGCAGCAAAACCCAACAAAAAATGCATTATAGTTATTTGTATACACAACGTTAAATGGACAAAAAGATAAGGCAAAATGCTTGAACAGTCCAACTGTACATACTGAGGCACATGAAAGTAGGCCAAACAAGGCAAAACCAACTACTTTCACACATTAATCATAGGTATATGCTTATATACAGTGTATCATGCAGTTTTTTCTTAAACTGCTTTGTCAGAGATGAATTTTAGACTCATCCTTGACTAGTGCTGTTTTCAGAAGCCTGAAAAAGATCAAACAAAAAGGACAGTTAATGATAAGACAAATTTAAGTGTGCAAGTCCTATTAAAGTTTTTTTTTCTTAGTAGGTAGTGCACTTTTTTAAAGTGCAAATATACCCCTATAGCTATAATATATATATATATTTAAAAAATATATATATAGCATGTCACACCATAGGGCCGTGGTTCTCAACCAAGGAAACGGGGCCTACCTTCGAGAGGGCTGCAGAATGCCTTATAAATTTTTTTTTATATATATATATATATATATTTAAATTATTATATATTAAAATAACATAACCTGAAGCTATGTATATGGTTTAGATTATTTTATCCCCCTCAACAACTGTTGTTGTTTTTTATTGTTAATATATTGAGACTTCCAGTTTGTGGTAAAAAAAAAATTTGCTTTGTCATAATTAAAGCGGAAATGCCATCCATGCATTCTCTAAACCACTTGAGCTATGTAGGGTCGCAGAATAAATACTCATGTCCGTGGAATTGTTTTTAGAGAGAAACACTGTAGAAAATGTAAAAATAAATAAATATTATAATAAACTAAATTTGATTCAAATAAAAATACTAATATAAACAAGTAAAAATTTATTAAAATAATAAATAAATTGGTTTTTGTTTTGGAATTTAAAATTTGAATAAAGAATGCATTCAACAGTACAGCACTATTACGCATAAAAACGTAATGTGACATTATATAAAATAAATATTTCCCTAGCAATCTTTTACACACTCATTAATTTTTCCAGTTTTAGCACATTTATACATGGAAATGTAAAGCTGCCTTTTAAATGTTAGGAATCGGATGGGGGACCGTGGCATCTAAGTGATTGAAACCCCATGCTTTAATAGGTTGCGTCTGGCAGACTTCACCTAATTTCCCAGATTACTGATGCAAGAAAATCAATATACTCATGATTTTGCATCTTCAAAAGGGAGAGTGGGTAAAAACAGAGTGGGGAGAAGCAGAAATAAGACCGTCTGGTCTGAACAACGAAAGACTGTCACCACAAATCTACTGCTGCATTAGTGTTAGCACCTTTAACGAGTCAGAGGCTCTTCTGAGCTCTTTGATGACTGATGACAGGGCTTCGGGATTGATCCCTTGCTCACAGAGACGGACACATATCGACAAGGACTCCATGTCCAATCCTGTATTCAGAAGCCTTGATATCTCCAGGAGAACTGAAAATGAAAGAAGAAGCCACAATAGTCGTCCAGTGGTTCATTCGATGATTAACCAATATGATTCACAACAAATAATAATAATAAAAAAAAAAACTTCGCCCTAAACATTTGTCTCAATCTTACCATCCATAGTCTCCCGGACAGCATTCATGTTTGCGCTCGCGGGATTGGCCATGGTGCTATCGTGCTAAAGCTATTTAATTACTTAACGACAATAACAAAGCACTATCTTTCATTCAGATGACCCTGACACGTCTTTTGCTGATAGTCCCTGGTATCTTCCCCGCATTTGCGAAATAAACATTAAACAAAATACATTGCAAACTAACTGAGAGTCGTTTTATTTACACCTCCCGCTTGTTGTTGTGGTAATCCTTTCAATAAAGTTGTAAACGTTCGAAAGGAAGTTACGTCGAGACGGAATGTCGCCCGTTCTCTTCACCCGATTGGTTGTTTCGCAGGTTCTGCTGAATTGTGATTGGTTGGCACATCTTGAGCGAAAATTAAATCAGACGTTGGAAGCCCATCAGAGATCGCGGTTGGGCTTGTTTGCGTCTCGTTGCGTTGTAAGTATTTAATTAAGAACATTAATCACCTGGTAAAAATCACATCAAAACATGTCAAGATTGCAAACTAAGAAAGGTAGATAACCCGATCAGTACTCGGTTGATCATTACTAATGAGATGCAGTAACTTAGTGGATAACCAAACAGGATGTTTACCACACCAAGTTGTTGATATTTTCAAGAATCTGCAGTCTTTCACTAGTTTTTATTTTTTATTAAAACGTAGCCAGCTCGTCTCTGGACGCCGTTTTTAAGATGGGAGATATAGCAGAGATTCATATAACACCCGAGACTCCAGGAAGACCTGCTATTCTGAACCCGTTTGAGAGCCCAAACGATTATCACCGTCTGCATGAGCCTCTGATGCCCAGCCCGTCGGTGTTCAAAAGCTCCAAGAGCTCATCTGCGGTGAGTATCTGACTCAGCGTGTCAGGGGGAAAATAAAGAAAAACGATAGAAATGACATTTCTGTTTGTATTTTCTGTTGTAGACACCAGCCAAGTTCAAGTGGTCCATTGATGAAATGGCAAATTTACTTCCTGTGGAAATAGACCCTGAGGACATTCACCGCCAGGCTGTGTTTCTGAGCCAAGCCAGGTATGTAATTGCTGTTAGTATGTTTAGCTTTTTAATAACCCTGTATTTGTAGTTATTTTTTCATATGTTCGTGATATTGACTCAACTGTGTTTCTTTTTAACGCATAAGGGCAGATTCTGAGATTGAGGCAAAACGGCAACATGCTATTGAACAGGTAAAACTGCTTTACCCCTTGTAAATAAAACAGTGTCTGTCCATGAAAATGTTTTCTTTTCACTAAAGAGAAAGATGCTTCATCAAATTATTTTTGGTTGTACAGTTTTTCACTAAAGGTGCCATTGTTCCCTCTCCATGGGGACCACTCACAGCTAAACAATCAATAAAACTGCCACATCAGAAAAGTAAGTCATGACACAGACACATAAAAGACAAATGTTTTAATACAACTAATGTAGCATTTGGATATTCATTGAAACTGTCTAATTTTAGGTCCGTTGTCCCCACTGGTAACAGAGGAGCCTCCGCCACCAAAGAAAATCAATGGTTTGTTTAGCAGCTCTAAGACATTTATAAATTATCATTTTAGATCTTTATGTAGATTTAGAATAATCGGGCTTTGCTTGTTGTTTGTGTTTAAGCCATCTGTCAGACAGTCCTGTCCCTACCAGTGGACTTCAATCTTGAGAAAGTTCTGGGTAACCCTTTTCATTTCTTTCTTGTTTTGGAGTAATATATTTATATATTTATTATTATTATTATTATTATTTTGTGTGTGTGTGTGTATATATATATATATATATATATATATATATATATATATATATTCCCTCAAACTCTTATGCTTTTGTCTTTCATACACAGTTTTTATGACCTCATTAATTGAGATAGCATGACATATTTACTCTTTCAAGATTCAAGTGAATTTATAAAGAAGGTTCTAATCTAAAATGTTATTTACAACATTATAATACCATTCAAAAGTTTGGGGTCTGTAAGATAAAAATAATAATAACTTTTATTCAGTAAGAATGCATTAAAAATGTATCAAGATTGACAGTTAAGGCCCATTCACATCAAGGACGATAACCAAAGATAACAATAAATATATAGTTAAAAAATCTTCAAGAATAGCAGAGTTCACACCACTACTATAACGATAACAGCACAGAGGAACTATTTTTATCCTGCTGATGAACAATATAAACATTGACAGCCAATCAGAATCCATTCTGCTGCAAAGAGCTGGAGCATTTAAAGTGACAGACAAGCACGCGTTTATAATAAACAGAACATTATTGTCCGCTGGTGTGGACGCTAATATAGTTATCGTTCTTGGCCTTAAATGGTTCTCTTTGGGTTCTATCGGCCAAAAATACTTTTCTTTTTAAAACCTTTTATGCATACAGTTTTAATGACTTCATTTATAGAGAGATTGGTTTATTGTACTTTTTAAAAAATGATGAAAAGAATTCATAATGTAGGCAAAAAATATAATTTATAATAACAGGGTTCATACTTTGACTTATTGAAATTGAAGTACTGGGAAAAACTTTTGAAACAGCCATGAAGAGGTACTTTAAAAAGTGCTTGAATTCTTAAAAGGCAATATACCCCAAATTTGTGTTCAATTTGTTTGATAAAACACAAATACAGTCTTTACGCTTAAAATAAACGCTGTAGCCTGTCTGATATTAACCTTGTTGAGGAGATTTCTCATGACTGGCGTCAGTGCTGGTCAATGCATTGATCTCTATGAAGTGAAGCGTCAGATTAGCATTACTTCAGCGCAGCATTGTTTGTCTGTTGCGCCTGACGCCGTTGTTCAAATAATTTTCTTGTTTACAACCTTAGTTTCTTGTTGATATTAACTTGAGAACTTCTATTCTACCAGGTGATTACTATAAGACAGAAGAGTTAACTGAACAGGTGCAGGAAAGCCTTAGCTCCTCTTCATTGCGACGTAAGCTGTTTCTGGATGGTCATGACAGCGGTTCTGAGTCTTCTACCCCTTCCAGCCCAGATAGAAATTCCCATAACATACCTCCCAGCAGTCGAGAGATGATGTCTTCTGTTATTGTCTCTCCACTTCAGTGTGGCATTCCAACCGGGACGCCATTGTCTGTACGTACTACGTACCAATTCATAGATTTGCCCAGGGCCATTTTACCCTTGTATATACCAAAAAAATCTGGATCAAGGATACCTGATTCTAATAATCTAATATTATGTTTTTACCCATAATTTTCAGGGCCAGTTTTCTTCCAGTCCCATCCGAGGCCAGTGTCGAGCCTACAGTCTGGGCAGTATCACAAGTCCAATGTTTTCAGAGAGATCTTCTCCTGCTTTTAAATCTCCTATTCTGTCGCCCATCAGACTTCAGCATTCTGTGACGCCTGTATCAGGTAAAAAATCTGAGATGGTGCCAGGGTTTTAAAATGTAATTTGCATGACCAGATAGATAGATGCAGGGGTGTCCAAACTTTCTTTTGTCAGCTAAACCTGTTAGACATAATATTTACTATAAGTACCCCCTGAGATTTTTAGTATTTCAATAATTTAACATGTTCACGGTTCTCTGTTGGTTAGTGGTCACATAACATGCAAGTAAACAGATTAAATATATGATATTTTTAGTGTTTTATTTTGGAATTTAACCTTTGGAGATTCGAACCTCTGTTTAGCTTAACCTCATTATAAAAAATTATATATATATATATATATATATATATATATATATATATATATATATATATATATAATTTTTATGAGGTTACCTAAAAAGAGGTTTGAGTATTTAATCAAATATATATATATATATATATATATATATATATATATATATATATATATATATATACATACATAAAATAAAATTATTTATATATATATATAACTATTAAAAAAGAAATATTAGTTTTTAATTACAATTGTACTTTTTAAAATAAAAATGTTAAATTTTATTTTATACTAAAAGTTATAATACTAATATATATATATATATATATTGGTGAAATTCTGTATGTTGGACATTATGTGAATTTGTAAATAAAGTCAAATCTAGCACACATATTCCCAAATGCACGTTAAACTCGCAGCACGTGCAGAGATGGAGTTAGCCGCATTTACTGTGAACAAAGTCACTAAAAACACTGGATCATCATAAGCTATTTGTGTGTGCATTGAACATTAACACACTTCACTGAGACATGTAGCACATTAGATGATAGTTATGTAATTCTATCACCGCTTTTGATTTGATAGTCAAACTAAGCTATATCTCGATTATTGCTCATTTATTTATTTTAATTTTGCTTTCAATGTAATTTATTATTCGCTTTTCACCAACTTGCGAACCACCGTTTGTAAGACCTTGGATAAGTGTGAATGTGAGATGACATTAAAACTTTGTCTTTATAGGTGAGAGGAAAAGGCTGTCGTTTCTGTCCCCCAGTGGTGTTCCTACGGGCAGCTCGGACATGGACGTGAACCGATGTGGAAATAGCCCATTGGTGGAGGGCTGTTCCCCTATTCGCAGCTGCTCCCCCTTTCAGTCCAGACCCAGAGTCTGTATGTGGGCCTCTCCTACTCACATTTCCCCAATCCTCCACGACAAGGAGAACATCCATCCCAGTGAACCTTTACCCACCATGGACCTGGACGCCAGCTCGACAGGGCCTCATGCCCAGCGAGAAGGACTGCTATCAGGGGGAAGTGAGTCAGAGGCCTCTGTGGATGTTTCAGAGCAAATGGATCAAGACGAGCAGTTTGTGAAGGATACGGAAGGAAATATTGAGACCGACAAAAGTGAAGATGAGGAGGATGAGGTCATCAGCAGGTGCAGAGAGGAATCCTGTGGTTGGGTTCCTGAAGAGGACACTGCGTCACCAGCTAGACTGTCCAGCTCTCGAACAGGCAGTGTGCCTAACGCTGAGAGTACGCACATGTTCGTATCCCTGCTAGCGGAAGGGAGCATCACACCGTATGACATTAGCATGCAGGTTAGTATGCGTGCTGTCAGATGACCAGAATACCAGTGGCTTCCAAGTAGCCTCCAAATACTAGACAACTAGATGAAGAGTCGTTTAAACAGTAACCCAGCAGGTGTAGCTGACCTAAAACGTTGTGAAACCGCCTGGTGGTAGCAGTAGCAGCTGAACCGCCTTCTCTCCAAGAACTGTAGTTTTTATTTATTTTAGTTATTGCTTTATAAATAGAAAATTGTTTTTGCAAGCTTTTTAATGGAATTGTGAACTATGGTCTTAATCTCATATCAGGTTTAGGTCTAATCTGTCCCTCATGTTCTCTGTGCAGGTGGATAGCGGTTATAACACTCACTCGGTTTGCACTAACAGCTTAATGGACGCCCTCAGTTCAGACAGCCAGAGTAAGGAAATGCTGGACACACACACTGCTGAGGAGGGTGTACCTTTCACTAGACACACTAAGCCAAAGGTAATGTCACACACACACTACACAGCCAACATCAGTCACTGTAACCAACTATATCACATTTGAATACTTTATTCAGCTGTTTTGAGCCATTTATTTAGTTTTCTTTGTGTGCACACTCAAACTGTATTCACTTGATTAGTTTGTATAAATAAAACATACGCACTGTGCATAACCACACTAGGTCATTTTTAAATGAGGATATGTTTTGTTCTCCAGTTGTTCATCCCACTGCACTGAGCATGAGGGACAAAACAGGCACTTTACACACTCTTATGCCCAAAGCTGTGGAGGAGACATGATTTACACATCAAGCTGAATACTGATTTCATCTCATAGAGAATGCTGAATACTGTGGTTGGTATTACTGTCTGAGCCTTAAAGTTTTTTTGTACTGACTAATCCACAGCATTATTTATTCTTGCTTCAAAAATGAATGAATTTGAGACTTGAATAAGATTTTTGTATGGTTTTGATTGTGGAATGTAAATGTAGCTTGCAATAACTTTTGTTAAGAGGATGGGGAGGTATGTAACCATTTCCTCTAGCTGTTTTTATAGGGCCTTTTTTTTTTTTTTTTTACAATCTTAAAATAATTTATGAATTAATCACTAAAACATATGGAGATACCACAAGGTATACATGTATATTATGGCAGCATGTGTATCTGAATTGTAATAAAACGTCTTAAAAACAGTGCCAGTGTCCTTGACCAGCTTGCAATTTGTTCTCTTACAGACAAGAATAACATTAACACTTTTGTTCATCTAAAAGAAGTGAAGAAAAATCTAATGAAGAAAAATATTTCTTTTAAAATCGAAATCAAAAGATGTCACATTGGCACATAACATTGTTTTTGTACACAACTGTTCTAAACTAGAGCCGAATACATTCAGCATGTACCGGTACTTACAGCTGATGTGTGTTGTAGTTTTTCAATTAAAATGTAAAGAAGAAATATAGTACTTTTTTTTCTTTTTTCTTTCTGCATTCCAAATTATACAGGGTTCCCACTGTCATGGAAACTCTGGGAATTTTACAATTATGATATTCAGGCTGGAAAGTCATGGATTTTTTTTTACTCATGCTCTGTCCTAAAATATTTAATCTGAGCCTTGTTGCCCCAGATTCAAAATATGGTGAAGAGTTTAGATATGTCATCACGCATGGCCAATAAGAGACAATGCCATTCTAGTCATCTGCCCATTTTAGGATTTTTGTTTTCAGGTTATAATAATACTTGATACAATTTGTTCTGGGCATCATATTTAAAGACCGTTGTAAGTGGTTCTGATTCTACTATAATATTTAACACTGTTTAAGAACAAATTTGGATAATCCCTTGAACTCTACAATGTATTTAATATAGTTTTAATAAAGTAACAAAAAAACATTTCTTAATATTCATATTTAAAATTTAATAATGAGATTTTCACTGAAAATTAATCCAGATGGATGACATAACGGTACTGCTCAAATGAAAATTATACAGTTTAACACAGATTGTAGAAAATGGTGCTTTAGCTAGCTAAAAAAAAAACTGCTGATGTAAACAGAATAAAAAGAAACTACTAAAACCCTTTCATATCAATTTCTTTCACTTGTGCATTCACTCAAGGCTCCCTTCAAACTACCTTGTATCTGATCTGAAAATCTTTTCATTTAATTTTGGCTTTTATAGTACTACTCTCCTTCTTGGTGTTAGCGGTCAAGCCTGGGTTTTTTGGCCACTGGTTCCGATTCAGGCACAGGTACACTAACCCCAGGGATCTAGAAAAGACAAATACAAAACTATATTTTAGTGACACATTTAAAAAGTTAATTTACTTTATTTCTACATTGTTTCGACCTGTTGACCTAACGTCTATCTAGAGATGTAGCTTATAATAATCAACAAATAAACCCAGGGAGAGATATCACTGCAAATATACCATAAACGAAGGGACATAAGGGATAAATGAGCACTAGGATGGTCTTTATTGTAAAAACAAAATAACTAAAAATATTTACTAATATTAAATCAATATTTACTGTCCATTTATTACATATTTGGTTGAATGTACACTGAACAAAATTTTAAACGCAACACTTGTTTTTGCCCCAATTTTTCATGAGCTGAACTCAAAGATCTAAGACTTTTTCTTTGTACACAAAAGGCCTATTTCTCTCAAATATTGTTCACAAATATGTGTTAGTGAGCACTTCTCCTTTGCCGAGATAATCCATCCACCTCACAGGTGTGGCATATCAAGATGCTGATTAGACAGCTTGATTATTGCACAGGTGTGCCTTAGGCTGGCCAAAATAATCTGTGCATTCAAAATGTCATCAATAAAATGCACCTGTGTTCGTTGTCCATAACATACGCCTGCCCATACCATAACCCCACCGCCACCATGGGCCACTCGATCCACAATGTTGACATCAGCAAACTGCTCACCCACACGACGCCACACGCTGTCTTCCATCTGCCCTGTACAGTGAAAACCGGGATTCATCCGTGAAGAGAACACCTCTCCAAAGTGCCAGACGCCATCGAATGTGAGCATTTGCCCACTCAAGTCAGGTACGACCAGTGTTGGGAAAGTTCTTTTTTTTTCTACATGAACTAGTTCAAAGTTCAGTTCACACATTTTAAAATGAACTAGTTCAGTTCATAGTTCATACTTCAAAAAATGAACTAGTTCATAGTTCTTTTTTTCCATATGTTGCTGCGAGCTTCTTTTTTTTTTTATTATTATTGCCACAGCCCATATACAACCACAGACAGGAATTATTTTATCGACGGCCAAAGTTTGCACAGAAATGTAAGATTTTTCCCATCCTCACCGACCTTGTCATAAAACTCGTTTAAATGATCATACGACGCCTCCTCGCTCGCTGCTTTGTCGACTACATGCTACTTCTTGTTTGATGCCGCATGTGGCGGCCGCGGTGTGACACTGGTGGCTGGTGTTGCCAGATTGGTTGTTTTTTTCGCTACATATTAAGGCCTGTTTACGTGCGTTTTAGCCGGGTTTTCGCCTGGAAGGCTCTATAGAAATCTGGCACCCTATTGAACGAAGTTAAACTGAGAGAGCGTGCGTTCACAGACACCAGAATGAACGCGTTCACAGTAACGTTCATCAGGCAGTTATTCAGTACGTTCAGTTCACGTTCGCCCAAAATATGAACGAGTTCATGAACTATCGTTCATTGAACACGTTCAGGCACAACACTGGGTACGACGATGAACTGCAGTCAGGTCGAGACCCAGATGAGGACGACAAGCATGCAGATGAGCTTCCCTGAGACGGTTTCTGACAGTTTGTGCAGAAATTGTTTTGTTATGCAAACCGATTGTTGCAGCAGCTGTCCGGGTGGCTGGTCTTAGACGGTCTTGGAGGTGAAGATGCTGGATGTGGAGGTCCTGGGCTGGTGTGGTTACAAGTGGTCTGCGGTTGTGAGGCCGGTTGGATGTACTGGCAAATTCTCTGAAACGCTTTGAGACGGCTTATGGTAGAGAAATTAACATTCAATTCACGGGCAACAGCTCTGGTGGAAATTCCTGCAGTCAGCATGCCAATTGCACGCTCCCTCAAAACTTGCTACATCTGTGGCATTGTGCGGTGTGATAAAACTGCACATTTTAGAGTGGCCTTTTATTGTGGCCAGCCTAAGGCACACCTGTGCAATAATCATGCTGTCTAATCAGCATCTTGATATGCCACACCTGTGAGGTGGATGGATTATCTCGGCAAAGGAGAAGTGCTCACTAACACAGATTTAGACAGATTTGTGAACAATATTTGAGAGAAATAGGCCTTTTGTGTACATAGAAAAAGTCTTAGATCTTTTGAGTTCAGCTCATGAAAAATTGGGGCAAAATCAAAAGTGTTGTGTTTATAATTTTGTTCAGTGAAGGAGACTGGTCAATTATAGTTTTGTGGACATTATAAAAAAAACAAATCACAGCTGCAATTGATGTTGAGCTGTAAATGTAATGTGCTAGCCATGTCTCTCAACAAAAACAAAAACGTACCACTGGTTCAATGAGCGCCATTCTGATCCTCTGATGCTGGAGGTTGGAAGCATCGAGGCTAATTGTCACTTTGACTTTATCAAATATGTGGAAAGTGTGTTCTTCCACTTTGAGAGTGGGACCCTGAAAAAAAAAAAAAAAAAAAACAGGTTCAACCTCAGAACATTCATATGATCAGGTAATATCTCATGAATATAACCTGTAAGGCTAGCATTGCCTGTTATGGGCTGCACAGACTGATGTCAAGATATATGCGTACCTCAGAGTCAAAGTTGAGATGAGGACTGGGTTTGTCCTTGTTCTCAAAGAACACAGTGCCCTCCAAACCAAATTTAGGAATGAGGATTATGATGGCATTTTTTCTTACAAACAGAATGAAGCCTTCCTCATTTATGATTCCTTTATTCTTGAAAAATAGCTGAAGAGACGAGATGAAAGACACCATGTTAAAAAAAATCTGCAACAATTATACCACACATCATTAGTCATGTTTTTTGGAGATGTGTTGATGTTAGTGCTTGCAGTTTACCTGAGTGTGGAATGCCACTGAGGCTCTCTGTGCATACTGGGCCATTTTGTGTCTGTAGTTGAGGTTGGTGCACAAGGCCGACTGCTTATGCTTGTCCATCAAATCTGGGTACGTGTTGTCTGCATTAATAGCCACCGCTAACAGACGGTGAACTATGATATCAGAGTATCTAAAAAATAAATAAAAAACAAGCATAAATGTTCAGTCAAGAAGGATCAATTTATGAATAGGTGAAAAAAAGTACATCATAATGAAGGTAATCCATACGACCCCAGTGGATGAATCGATGTGTTTTTATATTCTTAACAAAAATTAAAGTTCTATCATCCTTTACTTACCCTAATGTTGTTCCAAACTCATAAGACTTTTGTTAATCTTCAAAACACAAATAAATATGTTTAATGAAATCTCAGAGATTTCTCTCCCTCCATTGAGTCTATTCACCCAAAACTCAATACTTCAAAATGTGCAAACGTTACGATCATGACGTGCATCGTAAAAGAAATCCATATGAATCGAAGTCTTCTGAAGAGACACAATCACTTTATATGATGAGCAGATTTAATTCAGGCTTTTATTGACATAAACATTGATCATTGCACATACATGGAGAACATTACATTTTAGTAAACCGAAGCTCAAACATGCTTGCTTGAGATGTGAGGACCAATGAGGTTTGTTCTCACGCATCAAGCAAGTACGGCTGAGTTGCTATTGACCATTCTTGTTGTACTTGATGTATGTGTAATGATCAAAGTTTATATGTGAATACAAGCCTAAATTAAATCTCATAATACAAAGCGATTGTGTCTCTGTAGAAGACTTGGATTAAACTGCTTGATTCATATGGATTCATTCCACAATTGTTTTACCAATGTTTTGAACCATCAGAGTTTTGAGGGAATAGACTTTCAATGCAGGAACATGACTTTCATTAATATCTTTTTTAGATTTCATTAATATCTTCATTTGTGTTTTGAAGTTAATCAAAAGTCTTATGGGCTTGGAATGACATGAGAGTGATTAACTGATGACAGAATTTTCATGTTTGGGTGAGCTAACCTTTTAACTATAAACCATCGCTTCCTGCCAACTGTCATACTTGGTTTCATGAGAGGGTCAAGTTTACTTTTGATTTAAAGAA